GAATATCTATTTACTTGAGTATTTTTTATTTTATTTTACTTTATATTAAACTTCACTACAGTTCAGAGGCTTAAGTGACATTTTTGAATGCAGGATTTTGACTTGTCATGGAATTTTTTATTGTTTTATTATTACTTTTACAAAGGTAATCTGAGGACTAGCGACTTGTAATTTTGGGCTATTTAAATAAAATGGATTTGACTTTTTCTATCACTGTCTCTGGCCCAAATTTTGTCTTGGGGTTTCTTATTGATTTACTTATAATAAACATCGTCTCTTTCTCTATGAAGTTGTGCTTGTCAGATATAAAAGTATAAACTTACAACTCCATAATGCACAAAATGAAAGCGCATGTGCAGTTAATAAAAACCGTGTAGTCATGGAATAAAAGTTTAAAGGACTACTTACATGCCTGCTAATACTAAAATGTAGAATCATAATGGCAGTGCTGGAATGTAGCTAAGTGCAGTTACTCAACTACAGTACTTAATTACTCAGTTTTGAGACACTTGTAATTTTCTTGAGTATTTCCATATTTTTGCTACTCCCCTACATTTTGGAGGCAAATATATCACTTTTTACTCCAAAGCATTTATTTGATAGTTTAAGTTACTAGTGGTTTTGCTATAAATCAACTATTAATAAATGATTTATTATTATAGGAGCCTGCCCAGTAGTATATACAGCAGGTATACCCAACTTGCTTTGAATGGAGGCCACCCTTGAAAAATGACAAGAGGCCAGAGGCCAATTAATGAACAAAGATTAATAGTATTTATCAGATAAAATGTATGTGAGTTGACTGAGTTATAGTTACATATAATTCTATGAGCCTAGGTTTTGGGCTCTATTGGTTTGCTTTTGTGATCTACTGATGCAATGACATTGTAAACGTGAGATGACTACTGCTGTCTGGTTTTTTTTGTTTTTTTTATATGATTGATACACCTTGGGTCACAGACCACCGTGTGATAAGATTTCACTTTAGGGACCTCCATCTGAAAATAATTTTGTCGTTTCATATGATTCAGACCAGAATTCTATAGTTCAACCACAGCTGAGGACATAACCATAGAGAATGTGAAACCTCTGACAAGAATAGTCACTCTTATGACTCCTACTCACATTGGTCTTACTTTCACAGTGAATTAGAAAAATAAACTGTTCCTCATTTTTCTGGGGAGTACCTGGAACTCCCACAAGGACCCCTGAGGGTCCCACACTGCTCTGGTGCATATTCTATCAGCCCAAGAACAAAAACATGGTAACTAAATGTTACATTATGCAACTGTAAGTGAAATCATCCTGTAATAATACAACTGTACTGCTTAATTTTGCAAAATCATGTTATCCAAAATCGTATTTCAAACATGTTTTGTGTTTTATGATGGCACAACAGTAAAATAATGTCCACAGGACTGCACCTAAGTTTGATTAAATCTATTTTTAATACACTTTCCATATTGTAATATACAGTATGTCAATATTGAGAGTGTAAAGCACTTTGCACTTTAAATATCCAACTACTCCTTCAGCTAACATTATGGTGCTTGTAGTGACTTTCTCTTGAGCGGCATCAGTAAAGCAGGTTTACAACGTGATGATGAGTCTAACTGGTCAAATGTATGCATACATCTAATTTCTGATAGTTTACCACCAGGTTGCTCCTGTGATACCGAGTTTGTGTCAACTTGGTTGCTTATTAATGAGGTTTGACGTCATCATGTTTAAGAAGGGCATAAACATTTCTTAACCACTCACAGTGAAGACTGAAGGTGCTATGGAAAAGACAGAAAAGTGACCTCTGTTGGTATGTATCTGTTACTACTTTAAGTCAAAGTGAATGCTGGGTTATCCACCTACCCTCTCTGTCTCTCTCACAGCGCAACACACACACACACACACACACACACACACACACACACACAACCCGCGCATTCATGATAGATGAACCCCTCCTGAATAAGTCTTTGTCCTAGATAGTGATCATGGGACATGTCAAATAAAGCTCCTATAAAGATATTGCATCAATGTGAGTCAGATGACCTGAATTCAGGTATCAGTGCTCCGTGGTGATGTTACTATTTTAGTGATAATACAATATACAATGACTTTGTCTGCTTGTGTGTCTTGTTTAACATCAAGTGAACATTACAGAAATATTCTCTATCAGTAACCAGCAGGCAGAAACTCCTAATCAATGTAATGTCTGGGATCAGCTTTTGAAATTCAAACACTGACCTGTATACAGTCAAGTAAAACGCACTTTAACCACTAAGACAATTAATTAAAATGAAATTTCGCAGTCTGGAAATCCACCTCATTCCACTGAAGGGTACTCACTCTCTAGTGGTCAGCTGTACACCAGGGATTGACCGTGACTGCAGTTAGCAGGCTTTGTAGGATTTGCTGATCCTATTTAATTGCTGTGTGCTCCAATAACTTTGCTTTATAATGAGACACTGTGCAAGATATAACAACTGGGTGAGCACAGATTGGCACCCGTGTTCTCCATTCAAAAGGTATTTTGCATTCATAAGCCAAAGCTTAGAAAGCAGTTTAGCATCACCAGCAGCCAGTGACTTCCCATAATGAAGGACAGCTAATCAATCTCGTATTGAGCTTTTGACAATCAAGGCACGGGATAATCACAATGGAATTAAATGTTAAAATCGCTGTTGTTTGGCAGCCACATGAGGAGAGGCTTAATAAGACTTTCTTTGGAGTGCAGTGTAAGTTCTGTGATTTATTCAGTCACACTGAGACTCCTCACATAGGGTGAGGTGATTGGCATTTATTGACAAACAGCATTATACTGCCACTTATATCAATTACTACAAAGTGTTATTTAGCTCATCGTTCTTATGTTTAACTGATTTAAAGTGTTCCTGCAGGGAGAAATATGAGTGAGAATAGATTTCCCGAAGGCCGACAGGTTCTGTCTTGGCTGGTGGCGGCTCTCCACAATGAAATGTCAATATTACCTATTCAGTAGCTCAGGGTGTTGTTCAGAAATCAGTAACAGCGAGTCACTGAGCTACTGTCATAACCTTTGAGGCACGAATATGGAATCTTTTGATCCTGGTCTGGTGTCAGTTTCGGAGCCACTGCCTCCAGTCCAATCAGTGTAATGTCATAGTTTTTCTGTGTTGCTTTGAGAGTGTGATGAAAGTAAGCTTGTGAAAGGTTACTGGGTAAAAAAAAAAAAAAAAGTGGCAGGTGGTACAGGGGCTTTTTTTTATTTTATTTTTACTATCACAACAGATGGGAGTCATACACTAATTTCCAAATGGGTAACATGGGAATAATGATTTGATTAAAAAATATATCCACATGAATTAGCTGTAACATCTAATTGATGAGTACTAGAAAAGTAGTTAGCAAGCACCGGTTAATTTGTTGAAATAGTGAGCTAAAAGTAATGGATAACTGGTTTAAATAGTTAGCTAAAAATAATAGATAATTGGTTGAAGTAGTTAGCTAAAAGTGACTGATAAATGATTGAAATAGTTAGTTAAAGTAATGGATAGTTGGTTGAGATGGTTAACTCAAAGTGATGGATACTTGGTTGAAGCCATTAGCTAAAGGTAATGGATAATAGGTTGAAATAGTAAGCTAAAAGTAATGGATAATAGGTTAAAATAGTAAGCTAAAAGTAATGGATAAAAGGTTGAAATAGTAAGCTAAAAGTAATGGATAAAAGGTTGAAATAGTTAGCTAAAAGTGACTGATAATTGATTAAAATAGTTAGCTAAAAGTAATGGATAAAAGGTTGAAATAGTTAGCTAAATGTAATGGATAATTGGTTGAAGCGGTTAGCTAAAAGTAATGGATAATAGAGTGTGCCAGGGCTAACGTCAAAACCCGGAAGTTTAGCATCGCGCTGGTTCCCAGAAGAGAAAGTGATATGATTTCTGCATTGCGTTTTGGATTATGTCAGAAAATAAGCTCTGTGGCTAACACAAGTTTATGATACTTACAGGTTTTGTTCAGCGAGATAATCTTCACATATGAACACCTTTCATACCGCATTTGAAGCTTAAATGCGATCGCCAGAAGTAAAAAGCTAACGTTAGGCTTTAACGGACTACATGACTACTCCACGTTGCGTGACTCTTGACATCACCGCCACTAAGCTTTCAACTGATTTCGTCTGCTTTATTTTGAAAACATTGTATAATGGGGAAATCGGACTGTTTAAGCTAAATAAGAAGCTGTAATGGCGGACTGCCAGCACTCTCGCCTGTTCGGGGGTGATGACGTTTAACGTCCCCGACAGAGTTTGCAGTCGTATTGAGCAACTTGTTAGCAACCGCCTTTTTTACAACACGTAAAAGCTTCAACATTCACAAGTAGGGTATTTACTGACGTGTTTTATGTCGTAGAACAAAACCTGAAACTCGCTTAAGCTTTTGTTAACCACAGACCTTATTTGAGGCATTTTACCAAAATCCCATTCAAAAAACGTATAGACTTTTAGACGAGAGAACCGGAAGTGCTAAAGCGCTAATGGAGTTCCGGGTTTACTGGCACACTCTATTGGTAGAAATAGTTAGCTTAAAATGACTGATAACTGATTCAAATAGTTAGCTAAAAGTAATGGATAAAAGGTTGAAATAGTTAGCTATCTATAATGGATAAAGCAGTTAGCTAAAGTAAAGGATAATTGGTTTAGATAGTTAGCTAACAGTAACAGAAATGAATTGAAATAGTTAGCTAAAAGTAATGGATAAATGATTGGCAAAAGTTATCTTAAAGTAATGGGTAATTCGTTGAAATAGTTAGCTAGAAGTGATGGATAATTGGTTGAAGCAGTAATGGACATGTAGCTGAAATAGCTAAAAGTGATAAATGGTTGAACAGATGGCTAAAGGTGATTAAAAA